AAAATAAACAAATAGGACCTAATGAAACCTAAAAGCTTTTGCACAGCAAAGGAAACCATAAACAAGACAAAAAGACAACCCTCAGAATGGGAGAAAATATTTGCAAATGAAGCAACTGACAAAGGATTAATCTCCAAAATATACAAGCAGCCCATGCAGCTCAATATCAAAAAAACAAACAACCCAATCCAAAAATGGGCAGAAGACCTCAACAGACATTTCTCCCAAGAAGATATACAGATTGCCAACAAACACATGAAAGGATGCTCAACAGCACTGATCATCAGAGAAATGCAAATCAAAGCTACAGTAAGGTATCACCTCACACCAGTCAGAAAGGCCATTATCAAAAAATCTACAAACAATAAATGCTGGAGAGGCTGTGGAGAAAAGGGAACCCACTGCACTGTTGGTGGGAATGTAAATTGATACAGCCACTATGGAGAACAGTATGGAGGTTCCTTAAAAAACTAAAAATAGAGCTAACATATGATCCAGCAATCCCACTACTGGGCATATTCCCTGAGAAAACCGTAATTCAAAAAGAGTCATGTACCACAATGTTCATTGCAGCACTATTTACAATAACCAGGACATGGAAGCAACCTAAATGTCCATCGACAGATGAATGGACAAAGAAGATGTGGCACATATATACAATGGAATATTACTCAGCCATAAAAAATGAAATTGAGTTATTTGTAGTGAGGTGGAATCTGTTATACAGAGTGAAGTAAGTCAGAAAGAGAAAAACAAATACCATATGCTAACACATATATATAGAATCTAAAAAAAAAAAAAGGTTCTGAAGAACCTAGAGGCAGGACAGGAATAAAGATGCAGACATAGAGAATGGACTTAGGGACACGGGGAGGGGGAAGGGTAAGTTGGGACGAAGTGAGAGAGTGGCATCGACATATATACACTACCAAATGTAAAATAGATAGTTAGTGGGAAGCAGCTGCATAGCAAAGGGAGATCAGCTCTGTGCTTTGTGACCACCTAGAGGGGTGGGATAGGGAGGGTGGGAGGGAGTCGGAAGAGGGAGCAGATATGGTGATATAAGTATACGTATAGCTGATTCACTTTGTTATACAGCAGAAACTAACACAACAATGTAAAGCAATTATACTCCTATAAAGATGTTAAAAATAAAATAAGAAGAGATGACTGGATTAAGAAGATGTGTGTTTGTGTGATTGTGTGTGTGAACGTATATATAATGGAATACTACTCAGCCATAAAAAAGAATGAAATTCTGCCATTTGCAGCAACATGGATTGACCTAGAGAATATGTTTAGTGAAATAAGTCAAAGACAAATATTATGTGATATCACTTACATGTGCAATGTAAAACACAGTACAAATGAATGTACGTGCAAAACAGAAACAGAGTCACAGGTGTAGAAAACAAACTTATGGTTACCAAAGAAGAGTGGGGGGGCGGGGGTAGGGACAAATTTAAGGTATGGGATTAATAGATATAAACTACTATATATACAATAGATAAGCAACAAAGATTTACTGTACAGCACAAGGAATTATAGCCATTATCTTCTAATAACCTATAATGGAGTATAACCTGCAAAAATACTGAATCAGTATGCTGTACACCTGAAACTAATATAATACTGTAAATTGACTATACTTCGATAAAAATAATAAATTGGAGGTAATTTATTTTTGATTAAAAATAGTTTCCAATAATTTCTTGTATAACTAATGTCATGTTTTCACCGTAAACAAAAATGCAACTTTGTTAATTGGACAAATAAATGTCCTTAACTTTTTCTGATATCTAAATGATGAATCTAAAAAATGTCACTTCCTTATAATATTAGTCACCTACTTCCCAACCTAATACAACGAACACCTCATTAACTGTATTCAGACATTGGGTATATCATTGCTCACTACAGCTTTCTTCAAATGTTATATAAATGGCAAGAGGTAAAGTAAATATCAGCGAAATGGCACCTGTATCCCAAAGCATCTTTCTCAGATACAAAAACATAGATAGCGAGAAGGTGCAGTAATTCTTCTTCTTCAAGCCAACTAAAAGAAAAATCCCGGGCTTCCCTGGTGGCACAGTGGTTGAGAGTCCACCTGCAGATGCGGGGGACACGGGTTCATGCCCCGGTCCGGGAGGATCTCGCATGCCGCGGAGCGGCTGGGCCCGTGAGCCATGGCCACTGGGCCTGCGCGTCCGGAACCTGTGCTCCGCAAGGGGAGAGGCCACAGCAGTGAGAGGCCCGCGTACCGCAAAAAAAAAAAAAAAAAAAATTCCTATTTGCTATGTTTACCATACCTACTTATAAGTTTAACAGTGGGATCAAAGGAGACACATAGTATTAGTTCAGTGCTAGAAATTATTTTCCAGTATATACTGATACAAAATTGTCTACCTCGACTACTAAAACATGAAAGATTTCATGAAGTCAATGCCCCACAAACATACATCTTGAAGGTAATTTCCTTCATCAAATTCTAACCTCTTAGCCTTTCTTAAAAATTGTACTGTGTTAGCTAATGACTTAATAACCACATAATCAGTCAATACCTTTTCCTTGTGAAACCTTTTATATCACCAATTTCCTAGATACTATATGCAATATACTTATAAGCGATAAAGTAAAAAAATGTAATTTTATTACATTTTAAATACTTGAACATATTGGCCTTATCTATTACTAAATAGGAAATGTGTTAAAAATGTAATGGACAATAAAGTTGAATTTGTCTACAAAGTAGCAACTAAAATAGAAGGATCTATTTCAAATTAAAATGATACAGATATTATTACATTAATATGTAACTATTCAAAAAAGTAAGAGTAGCTTAGGAAATGTATGGGCAGATAGAAGCTAATACGGATTTTAGAAAAAAAAAATTTATTAAGTGAAATTTAGTTTCAAACTCTGAAAAACAGAGAATGCTCTACTAAATATAGTCACTAAAAATATTTAGAATAAAAGCAGGGAAGCTGAATTTACACAGAATGTAGGTTTCCTTTGCTGTAAAACTGCCATTTTTTCCTACAAAAATCAATTTGCTAAGGCTCAAAGGAGGACCAAAAGTGGAATACTCAATGTGCAAGCAACTCATATTTCTCAGAATCAATATAAATTTAGATGATTTTCATATCTCTAAGAAAATTAATCAGATTTTTAAAATATCATGTGCTAGGGAAATTTAAACTGAGTCAAAGAATAATGACTGCCAGGTAAAGTCATTAGCTGAATAGTTTTCTCCTTATCCAGAGGAATGGTTAGCATTAAATCTTGGATGTTCTGAAATATATATTACAGCAATATCATTAAAAAACAGTAATTATTCATTTTTAGATATTAATAGATAGGTTTTTAAACCTCAAACATTCTATTTTTTGAAAATGTTATTATTAACTGATTGTAAAACTTGCTATTATCCAGAACTTACATTTCAGCCACAAATAAAAAGAGAGTAAAACATAGGGAAAGATACCCAGGATTTCGAAGATATGAAGGAGACATCTCAAGTACCTAATTAATAAGAATTTTATAGAGTACAAACCAGGTGTTTAAATGGTGGTAGGTACACAGAGATTGTAAGCCTTGACTTACTGATAAAACAAAACACAGAAGATTACAGGGTACTGCAAAATAATGTTCAGTGCTACAGATGTGCAAAATATGGCAATATTGGCCTGAACTATAAAAGTTAGCAAGGAGCTGTACAAAGGAGTTGGAATTGAGTCAGAATTTGAACAAAGAGTAAGATTCAAACTGGCACTGAAAAGGGTATTACTATAGGACCATGCAAAGGTCTGAATATGTGAATGAATGGTAATGCATATTTATTCTAGCTATGCATTCTCATACTGTTCCTAAAAGTGTAAAAAATCATTATCCAGGGCTGCCCTGGTGGCGCAGTGGTTGAGAGTCCGCCTGCCGATGCAGGGGACACGGGTTCGTGCCCCGGTCCAGGAAGATCCCACATGCCACGGAGCGGCTGTGCCCGTGAGCCATGGCCACTGAGCCTGCGCGTCCGGAGCCTGTGCTCCGCAACGGGAGAGGCCACAACAGTGAGAGGCCCGCGTACCGAAAAAAAAAAAAAAATATTATCCACAAAAACTGATAGGAAAGTAGAGGCTGTGAACCTTCGGCATTATATCCATTTTCATATTAAAAAGAAATCACACATTTTTGCTGTCATCTTCCAGGTATCCTAAGAGGAAAAGTTTTAAAATCATTTTCTGCTTATAATTTTTCTTTCTCTCTTTTTTTTTTTTTTTTTTTTTTGGTGTTTTCGGGCCTCTCTCTGGCGTCTCCTGTTGGGGAGCACAGGATCCGGACGCGCAGGCTCAGCGGCCATGGCTCACGGGCCCAGCCGTTTCGCGTCATGTGGGATCCTCCCGGACTGGGGCACGAACCCGCGTCCCCTGCATCAGCAGGCGGACTCTCAACCACTGCGCCACCAGGGAAGCCCCCTAATTTTTCTTTTTTAATCATCTTATGTTTCTTTTATATACAGAAACTCTCAATATAATACTATTTGGTACATTGCTACCATCTTCTTTATATCTAGTAGGCTTCTATTTTGTTAAGATTTAGTTTCCCTTCACTTTTTAAACAATTGAGTAATAGAGTATTATTTCCTTGCACTTATTGCCATTACATATTTGAAGTTTACTACACTTTGTCGTAATTTATCCCATGTTTCCTTTGATTCTATATTGTAAAACGTCACATTTGTCTCATTCCTACACAGGAGGAAACTGATTAATTTGAAGGTCAATTTAGTTACAAAAGGTTTTATTTCTATTTTGTACTAATGAACCACCATGAACTGCCCAAATTAAACATGAATTAAACAGTTTAAACCCAAACTGCCATTCATTTAACTGTAAATAGATAACTCTTCAAGAAACTAATGGCTCCAATCCCTTATCCTCTCAAAGAATGAGAATATTTCCTTGCTCTTGTTTTATGGAAGAAAAATGAAAATTTCAAGTATTTACCATTTCTAGTTTCTCTACTTTAAGGCGAACAGAGGGATTTAGGGAAATCTTCTTTCCTTGTGGTCCATAATTATCAGTCAAGGCAGGGGCAATATCTACGAGACAACAGGGTACACATTAATTGGAAATTTAATTGGAATAGAATTTTTCATTTGACAGGATGTGTTCTGGGCTCCTGAGGTTCAGAAAGAATTCTGGCTAATCAGTTACCAGTTTTCACTTTTGTTTTCATGGTTTTTTGTTCTTTAAATCTAAAATGTATTATATAAACCAGTTTCACTTAAGCCTTAAAAGACATGATATAAAAAGAGTGGCCAATTATGCATTAAGTCCCACAGAAATATTAATACAACAAACATACATCCCACCAGTTACCTTGTCATCACAACAGCTTACTAATTGCAAAATGAAAAGTCTTTTTTTCTTCCAAAATAAGCAAAATCATATTAGAAAATTTAAAAGGTCATGATTTTTCTCTGGCAAAAGTGGTTTTGCTACATGAGTTCTGGAGGTACTATGGAAAAACTCACAAATGCAAACTGTTTCAAGTTTGCACATAAAGTATGATATAGGCTCAGAACTTCTTGAACTAAAAATCCTATTTCTTATTTTACAGAAGTTATATTCCAAGTAGCATAAATGGATTCTCAAGAGTTGAGTGTCATACACCTCTCACCCATTCTCTAATGCCTTCTCAGTCTACCCTTATTATTTAGACGAGCTTTGTCCTTGTTGCATGAGTAAAAAACAGGTGTTACAAGGGACTAGAACTTGAAAAATTATTTGCCTTAATATGCCAAAGTTTCTCAAGCAAATTCCTGCAATTCATGTCAATCCTTATATCTAAATTGTCACCATTCTAAATACACTTTTAAATGGTATTTTACTAGTTCTACATAGAAACAAGAGGAAGAGAAAAAACTTTTTAAAATGTCACATTTTTATGCAGCGTTTTAATTTTTTTTTATTTCTCAGAGCATCTGTCTCTAAGTACAAAATGATTTGCATTCTCTTTCTTAAGAACATAAGAAGTGCATAGGAAAATAAATAGTCTTCCTCTAAACCTTTAACGCTTCCTTAACATTCTATGTAAAATCTTGAATATAGCTTATAGGTGTCAAGATCATGAAAAAAAAAATGGTTACTGACTTTTAGCTTTAAATGGAAGTCAAACCTAGAGAAAGACTGATTTTAGTATAATAAAATTTTTACAATTTTGACATAAGCAACAAAGACGCCTTAGTTGCTGTGATACCTAATTGTTGGCCAAGGGCTAAAAATACATTATATATATAAAATTCTTTTCCTCTTAAGAGAAATTTTGTGCCAAACCTAAAGTGTAGCATAAAATATCAGCATGGAGTGAAGTGATTTGGAAGCCCAAAGAGCGGGTAAGTCAAACCTTATCTTTCATTTTTAGGGTTTGGACATGTGAGGCTTGACAACGACTTTCAGTCTGGTGCCTGACCTATCATTAAGGCACAGTAACACAAGGTGGACCCAAGCTAACCTAATTATGATCTCAGACCAAGACTAACCCTGGGTGTGAATTACTCAATTCAAGTGTGTGTGGAAGGCATAGAGAGAAGACAAAAGAGAGGGAGGGATAGGGACTCACACCAAGGCGTGGGTTCTCACTTATGTTTTCCTACATCTAAGCATAAAAATTTGCTATGTGCAGCAGTGGAAATAACAGATTAACTCTTATTTATGCTTACTTTTAGCCAGGCATTACACTAAGTACTTTATATATATAAGCTCATTTAATCTTTACAATAACCACAGTGACACAGGTGTTATTATTTCCAACCCAAGAATGATGAGACTAAGGCCCAAAAGGGTAAAGAAACTAGCCCAAGATCATACAACTAGTAGGTGACCATGTTAGGATTCTAATCTCTTATGACCCCTGAAGACAATTTCTTAAATGTGTCAATATCTTTCATCATCAGTTTTCTCATCTGTAAAGTAGGAAGAATAAAACAGATCACCTTACAGGAATTGTAAAGGTAAATTAAAAATCATAGAAAACTACTATGAAAACTATAAAGTAGCGTTAATAGTAACACAGACACACAGAGATTTAATAGGAGATTTAATGTAAACTTATAATAATCCCCCATTTAACAATATGCAATCATGGCTTAACAAAACCTCACTTTCTTCTAGCCAAACTTCCCCTAAATCTTTACATTTGAGCCAAAACCTTAGGAGGATGTGGACATAAATCCAGCAGGCTTTGGTAATTCAAGGTAACTTGACCTGAAAAGCTCTCCCACAGACAGTTTTCCTCATTTGCCAGTGTCCTCTCTCACTTTCAGCCTTGGGCTCTTTATTTGCTCCTCTCTGGGAGGGGGTGAGAATTTTCAAAGTATGGCTTATTATTCCCTTGGCTCTTCTCTTCCTATTCCTCTTTTTAGGAGCAGAAGAAAGGAAATGTTTTATAAGGGTAGGATCAATACCATTTAGTTAATACCATGAACCCTCACCATGGATATTTTTCCCCATCACTAGTTTGTTTTCAGTTTTAAAAGCCTTATTGCAGGAGAATTAAGGCTTGTGTGGTGGTAAAGTTAATGATCGTATTCCTTCACGTAGTAATTCTTTACTGATTTCCTTAGGAATGTCGTTAGCATGTTTTTAGCTCACTCACAAACTCACGCATTATTCAGCGTATGGCAGTAGTAAACAACTCTGGATTCTGAAATAAGAAATTTATATAACAGAATAGTTTTGAAAAACATACTCAAGTATAATGTGAATTTTAAACATTCTAACCAGTTTTACACTTTGGAATGCTTCTGAGATGAGAACAGGGGTAGACTTGCCTCATTAAGTTTATTTTTGTTGAGGTTAACATTAAAACTCATTTATGTTTTTTAATAAATACCAGCTGGCTGAAGGAGTCTAGATGTGATGGTTAAGGATCTAATTTGGGAACAATCTATAATTAACTACTTATAACAGACAAATCACAAGGTATATAAGTTACCTAGAGATAATTTAGAGTTGACTTTGCTTTGTTTTTCTCCCCAGAAACATCTGGGCTACTACATTTATGTGGAAGAAAATGGTACTGAGTCAATTCCATTTCTACTCTAGAAAAATGTTCCATTTTAATTGCATTTTAATATTTACATACAGTTAACTCACTCAAATATGTTTTTCACTAAATTATTTTTCTATTACAAAATCTAGCATCATTTCTTATAGTCACTGATGTAAATTTACCTCAGTTTGTTCATTACTACAGGATCTCCTTGCTCTAATCACATTTGCCTCCTAGGGTCACCTGACATGTAGCTTGACCTTACTTCTTCGCATTTGATGATGATGCCTCCTTCACTTAGGATGATCTGTTACCTTCATCCATCTGTTGATGTTTATCACTTCTTTCAAGATCCAGATGATGTCTGACTTTTGCCAAGAAATTTTTTTTCTCTATTGATTTCTGCATATTTTGTGACAAATTCTTTACTATGTACTAGCTTCTGGGGTAGAGGGGGAGGATGCAAAATTGAATTAAAGGACAGAAGCTTTCACTTCTGCTCTAAAAAACATGCCCTGGAATATTATCTGAGCTATACTCTAAACTTCAGTTTCCGTAATATTAATAATAATGACAGCAAAATGTACTGAGCATATTCTATGCACCAATTACAAAATGCTTGACATACATAATCTTGTTTAATACTCATAACAAACCCATGAGGAAATTATTTCAATATAATAAGCTAATTCAGCCAATAAGTTGGGAGCAAAGATCTGAATCTCTACGTTTGCATTCAGAGCCTGGTGACTAACCACTGTGTTTTCCCTATATCACACTCAGGTCACTTACTACTTCTTCCCTTAATCTACTTTGCTCATGTCTTTACACATCTTGTGCAAATGTGTTATTTGTCCATAAGACATATACTTCTTAGAGTACCAAAACCACCCACCCCCTGCTCTAGTCAACACAGAACACTGCAAATAGTCGAGTATTTATTCAATAAAATAATCACACACGCACACACATAAATAAACACACACATATATGTGCTTTCTAATCTGAATAATGAAGGTTTTTAATCCCATATTTTGTTTCACAATATACTATTAAGTATCTCATGGAAAAAAAAATCCCAGTTCCTTCATATTTTCTACCGAACTATGACGCACATGACATACTCAGTAAATACTTACTGAGTAAATAAATTGGCTAAAAGAGGCATCAAGAGAATGAAAATTAATTATGTAAAGGAAATAATACTAATAAAGTTTATAAGGGTCAACAAATTCCACTAAGTAAAAAGGCACATAATTGACAGCTAAAGATTTTTCCTAACCCACTGGTAAATATTGCTCCAAATCAGAGAAACTACTATGGAATTCACTATAAATTCCTGTTAAGTATAGGAGCTATGTGCTATGGTCTGAATGTTTGTGTCCACCCGAAATTCATATGTTGAAATTCCAACCTCCGGAGTTGAGGCCTTTGGGAGGTGCTTAGAGCATGAAGGTGGAGCCCTCACGAATGGGATTAGTGTTATTACAAAAGAGGTCCCACAGTGCTTCTAAGACCTTTCCACCATGTGAGGACACAATAAGAAGCCTGCAACCACAAGGAAGCTCTCACCCAGACCATGCTGGCACCATGATCCTGGACTTCCAGCCTCCAGAACTGTGAGAAAAGTTTGTTATTTATAAGCCACCCATTCTGTGGTATTTTGTTAGAGTAACCCACACAGACTAAGACACTATATAATTTCTGCTAACTCTTTCTTATTTTGCAGTTTTGATCTACACAATGCTATTAAAAATTAAAGTATACAAGTAACAATTTGCTTTATAATTTAGACATGTAATTAACTCTTCCTTTCAATAAGTATAGTTTTTTTTGTTTGTTTGTTTTTATTGTTGTTCCCTTTAACTTTTGGAGATAATATAAGGGAAGGAATTTTTTCTTGATATTTGAGCCTACAAACACTTTACAGATTGATAAAAATCCTTTTTTTATGGGTAGCTTACACAATTAATCCTTTACTGTTTTGAAAAGTCAATAAATCATTTCATGCTAATTAAGAACCAGTAATACTGAATTCACAATACTGATGTTCTTTCGAATTTATATCTATATAATCTCTTCTAAGAAAAACAAAACATACTTCTTTTCTTAAGCTATGCTCCCTTCTATAATTTCTCTGAAAGGTGCATTTAATATACCTCACGAGGATTTCACTAAAAGGGCAAGGCATCCTAATCTTGAGTTATAGAAGAGTTTTCATTATTTGGTTTCAACAGTTCATTGATTATTACAGCTTCATAGACACTGCAATGATAATGCATCTTTTAAAATTTCAACCCTTTGTTCAGGAAAATTTCCAATAAAAGTCATAATCTAACAGGGACCGCTGCACAATGGATTCATTTTGCTCTTTTATTCAATGAAGGAAAAAGGCATAATGCACCCTTCTTTAAAGTCTTTTAAGTCACATTATGTACTCCTCATTGAGAGAGTAATTGAGAAAAATAACAGGAAAGAGGAATTAAATGTGCATTTACCTGTATTAGGCATATCTGTAGGGCTGTTGTCTGAAGAAGTAATTGGAATCTGTTCTGTTTTCTTGTATCCAGTTTTTATCTATGAAAGAAAATGAGGAAGGTGAAATGTCATTTTCTAAAGTAGGTCAAAAACCACATGAGAAGCTCACGTTAACATAAAAAGAATGATTAAAGAGATTAAAGCAATAGTCCCCCAAATATAAAACCTTTAAAATTTTGGTATATTCATCTTCAAACACAGCAATTCAGAATGAAAGTAACAACTGCTCTCAGCTCTACCATACCCAAGGACAACAAAATATAAGGCTATGCACTGTGTCTCTGAAAAGGTATTATAACCCCAAATGAGAAAGTATAAAGGGCTAAGAGAAAATCTTAAACTCTGTATCTGATTAGCATGGGCCTGAAACTGAAATTACTTTTGATGAATTTTATTGCACTGACTAAAAGCCTACCTGATTTTCAAGTTTGTTTTATAGGGTATACACTCTATTTTATAACTCATTATTTATGGCACCGTTGCAATTAGTAATTACAGTCATCCCTTCATATCTGCCATTTCTGTATATGCAAATTCAACCAACAATGGATTAAAACTGTTTTTTAAAAACTCTAAGAAGTTTCAAAAAGCAAAACTTGAATTTGCCACATTGGCAACTATTTACATAGCATTTACATTGTATTTATTTACAACTATTTACATAGCATTTACATTGTATTAGGTATTATAAGTAATCTAGAGATGATTTAAAGTATATGGGGAGGCTGTGCATAGGTTAAATGCAAATACTACACCATTTTATATAAGAGACTTGAGCAGCCTCAGATTTTGGTATCTGCTGTCGGGGTGTGGGGAGGTTATCCTGGAGCCAATCCCTCCACAGATGATGAGGGATGACTGTAATTGTATCGATTTTGATGTGGGAACTCCCCCTTTTGTGTGATTCTAGGGTGAACTATTGATATATTCCAGCATACACACATGAGGGAACAAAATCCACCTACACTGTACAGGAAAGAGCTGAGCAACAGAAAGGAAGATTGCCTGTCTTCAGTCAAGCAGAAAACAGAAAAAAATAATGAACAGAACCATATTAGAGACTATCTGAAAATAAATATAACTTTCCATATCATAGTTTTGAGTGATATCTAGGCATATCTTTGTGATGCCATTCCTGATCATGATTTTCTGGACAAACAATATATTGACTTGAAAAACTGTATTTATTGACAGCATAGCATAAAATCTTAAACAAAGAAAAGATCTTTCAAGGAAATACCAATCTGTTAACAAACTATATTACCAAAATTATAGTTCTATATGTATATGACAAACATAATGACACATAGGGGATCTGTGGACTACATAAATAGAAAAATTTAAGATTACCTGATTTATCTTAAAAGAAGATAAAATGGCATCTGTAGATTTGGGAGTCGATGAGGTCTTTGGAATTAGTATTTCAGGGGAAGAAGAAAGAAGACTAAATTTTGAGGCTTGAGGTCCATATTCTCCTGTAGCTTGTAAAAGGGATGAACACGATGGATTTTCTAAATGACTGCTGTGAGATTTCTGTCTTATGAATGCTATCTCCCAAGCAGATTCTGACCTAGCATTAAAAAGAAATCACTTTATGGATATAGTACTATTGAATTCTAAGATAATGTTTCATATATTATCAAAAAATACTCCTTTTGGGTCTAAAGTACTAGGACAACTTAAATTTCTATTTTTAGGGAGACATGCTAAATGACTCATTCTATCTTACAGATAGAATAGTTACCTCAACTTGGCTCTGGTAATTATGCTTTTTGCTTCTTCAAATGATACACCAATCATAGACTCCTTGTTTATTGAGACAAGTTGATCTCCTGGCTTCAAACGTCCATCCTAACAAAAATAGTAACATTTGTAAAGAAACTGATTAAGGTGTTTCTTAAAAAGTTAATTGATGCAATTAAAGCAAAGCACAGTTTTAGTAAAGAATGACTTAAAGAAAAGAGTAAAAAGAAAATTTTAGACAGAGAACCTCAACAGCAAAATGGTTTGATTAAAGTCTGGTTTGGTAATATATATGAATGAAATGGAAATGTTCAAGTACTCCTTGAATAAACTTTCAGCCTAAGGAATCCTGAATATATGAAGACATAGTCTGGTACACTAGGAAAGAGGCCTGTTTTAAAAGGTCAGTTGTATGAGACAAACACAGCTCTGAATGTGATAAAGTAGGCTAAATAATTCTGGTATATTTCAGAATATAAGCCTCATTCACTTCAGTTTCTGAGCATTCCTTTATCTTTCATCCCACCAAACACTGAGTTATTCCACAGTTAGAATTTTTAAAAATTCAGTCAAGGATCTTAATTATATTGATTCTACCCACATTTCTGTTCATGGTGAAACATCTTCTTCACTGGACCTGCTGCCCCTCCTGTGACTCAGGCCCAGTTGGTTGGACAGGTAGCTTTATTCACATCCTACTAATAACGACCAATTCTAATTGGCTGCCTGGCATTGTCTTTGTCAAGTCCTGGCTCTGCCTATAACTAGCCTAACTGAATAAGACAAAAAACAAAAGTTACAAAATTTAATGTACATGTTAGGCAAGTTTTCTCAGTCTTCATTTGCCTTTTCTTTTTTTTTTTTTTTTTTTTTTTGCGGTAAGCGGGCCTCTCACTGCCGCGGCCTCTCCCCTTACGGAGCACAGGCTCTGGACGCGCAGGCTCAGCGGCCATGGCTCACGGGCCCAGCCGCTCCGCGGCATGTGGGATCCTCCTGGATCGGGGCACGAACCCGCATCCCCTGCATCGGCAGGCGGACTCTCAACCACTGCGCCACCAGGGAAGCCCTGCCTGTTCTTTTAATTCAAACTGGAAAAGAAGAATGAGCTCTCTTAATTTTCAGCTCTTAAGATGCTTCTCCATTTATCATTAGTACAAACACAGAAAGCATTATTTCTATAACTAGGGAAGAAGCTTATATGGTTAGAAAGCATTTTCACCCTTGATGGTATTTAAGTAAATTCCACAAATTCAAGGAAAGATCTTTTAAAAAGTCTTATCTACTATGTATAAAATAAGTTTTAATTAATAGGATTAACCAGGGAAAAGAGATGGTGAAGATAAGGGGATGGAAGGAAGTAAAGAAGAAACATATTACCATCAAGGAGGTAGCAGGATAAAGACACAGAGATGAGAAGCAACATATAGTGTGCAGGGGACTATAGCCTTCAACACAGTGTTCAATTAAAAAGTGTGAGCCAGAAATCATGAGAAATGAGGATGGGGAAGTAGGAAGAGTTCAGGTATCTGCAGGCCTTTAACCCCAAGCTATCCCTGGGATAGCTTCTGCACTTACTGTTTTTGTTTTCATACTGTAAACATTACCTAAGTATTATTTCCCACACTTCCTTGATGAAAAGAATCAACTGGAGTTATAAAAAAGGTCCATGTTATGAGACCCCTCTGTTTGAAAGTCTGATACAATATTGATATATCCCTGAATAACTGATCTTTGGTCTGAACTGCATTATATGTAATAAACGTATATAATATATAATAATGGTGATTTATGGTTACTTTACTTTTAAATAACAATATTTTTTTTAAAAAAGACCTTTACTGGGCTTCCCTGTTGGCGCAGTGGTTGAGAGTCTGCCTGCTGATGCAGGGGACATGGGTTCGTGCCCTGGTCCGGGAAGATCCCGCATGCCATGGAGCGGCTGGGCTCGTGAGCCATGGCCGCTGAGCCTGCGCGTCCGGAGCCTGTGCTCCGCAACAGGAGAGGCCACGACAGTGAGAGGCTGGCGTACAGCAAAAAAAAAAAAAAAAAAGGACCTTTACTATTATCTCTCACACTGAATACTGAGTATAGAGGAAAGCAAAATAAATATAAAATATTTATCAAGAATTTTTATGGGAACATGTTATTTCAAATATTGTGTAATGAAAGATATTATAATCTAAATGCATAATGACCCTATGACCCTTCTGAAATATAAACATAAAAAAATCCAAAAAGGCAATTTGATTTTAAAATATATAAAATTTGAAAACTAATTTGGATTTTATAGGTATGTGATTAAACATAATTAGCAAAGTCAGAGAACACACAATTGCTATATTCACAAGTGATTTTTTTTTTCTCCTTCCATTTGATAGATGTATGGGGAATAAAACACAGTAGTAATGCTAGAAAAGGCTAAGCAATATGGAGGAAGTATCTACCATATGGATCCTAAATATTCAGTAAAATGAAAGAGCTGATTTTGTAAGATTTTATAAACACAGTTCAGTATTACCTGGGCCCAAGCCTTATGACAGACTTTGGTTATATATGCATTTAAATCAATTATACCCAGACTATACTTAGAAACTTAGGTACAAGAGCTTTCAATTTAATATGCTAAATATTAGTTTGAGGATAACTCATTCCTTAAGGTTAAAGTGAAATGGTAACAAACAAACAAACAAAAACAACCTTTTTGCCACAGGCAAAATGATAAGGCTAATAAAAATTAAGGAAGAACAAAATTCTGGAGAGTGCTTATTTCTGGGAGGGAGGGTGGGGAATGCAATGGGGTGGGGGGAAAACATATAGGAAGCCTTAATAGTAAAATTTTCTACTTCATAAGTCAAATGGTGAACTCTAAGTGGATTCATAGGCATTTGTTTCATTATTATTCTTCATAAGTTAGATATATGTTCCAATATCCTTTTGTATGCATAAAATATTATATTATTAAAAAGAAAAGAAATTTTCCAGCCCATCAAAAGAAAGCTCATGACATTTGCCTCAACAATGTTCCTAACCAGATGAATTTTATTTTGGTTCTATATTCCAAAACTGGCATTGGAAGTAAGGGCCAAATAGAGGTTCTTAAAATCTAATTTTAAAATAAATAAATAAATAAAATTAAATAAATGTCATTGTTAAATCCAGCTCTAGACCATTTGGGATCTGCAAAAAAAATTCCTCATTAGAATCAGCTTAATAAGGTAGATTATAACTGAAATTTAATGACTATTCTACTACTGATTTATGTCCCAAAGCCTGGAAGTAATTTGAGGAAAGAAAGGGAAAAATGAAGAAAGCCTTGCTTCATTGGAGCAAAGCATTTAAAGGACACTGACAAGGGAAAAAAGGTTCTTTTAGAATTGGGGTGGTGGACAGTAAATATTAGGTTATTTTGTTTTAATCTAAATATTCTTGGTATTAAACTGCCTTTTATTGAACTTCCTTGAAAAGGGAAAATTCTATAATGAGGACTATAAGCCAGATGGCACCTCATCTGTCTTCTAGTTGGGCAGCAGTCTTCAGAGGCAGTGGACTGATGAGGAAAAAAGAGCACGAGTTGTGGCAACCAGATAGATTTGAATTTGAATTTGAGCTCCACAACTTGCTAGCTAGATATTCATAAACAATGAAAGAAAGCTAAGGAAGGGGATAGGGGAGGTGCACAACCTCATCTACAAGGAACACGGAACTAAATTCTAAACTGTCGGAGACAGCTCCTCTATCCATGTATCTTATAGAAACCACAGTTGGTTGACAGCATTATGGAGAAAAAGCTTCAGAAAACAGAAGCCTCCCACATTCGCCTCTTGGGCCGCACAGTATTAGCCATGCAGAGGAAAAAGTTCTCAGTAAGGCAATTTAACACATCTTATATTAAAGTACACCCATGTACTGAAGTAGCATTTTCCAGGAAGACAAGAGTCAGAGAAGAGAAGAAGAAGAAAGTCTCTGACTGTGGTTTCTGGTGTTTATATATATTTTTGTTTCTAAAAAGTACTCACAGCAGTTGTTTTTTTTTTTCTTTGCCTCCTAGAATAAGATCTTAGCTGATCATGTGAATTTCTGAACCTGTTTAAAAGTCAGAACCTGCAAACTAAAACAAAGCTATTTCTGTAAAAGTCTGGCATTCAAAGCCAGTGAATTCTGCCCCAGCTGGATTAATGTGTCTGTGAAGATAGTAACTTCAGAGAGGCTTCTTCCACACTGTCTAGATTCTGGTTCAGCACTTATTGAGCAACTAGACAACATGACAGGCAAGGTGCCAAGCACTTTCACACACCTAACTTCAGTCTGAATTCTTTCACATTGACATTTATAAAGATGTTGAAATAATAATGTATTCTTGAACACTTGCATACTTTCATTAAAAGCTGCCAACACTGTCCATTTCAGATTATAATGACCATTACAGTTTTCTAAATAATGTGTTACCATAACCATATATACAGCCTGATTCTAACTCATTATTCCTAAATACTAAGGAATGCTCCTGCAAGCCTTTGGATTCCTTTCCCATACTTTCATAAAGGATGAAAGTCAATGGAAGTATCACTTTTTAAATACCAGTTATTTACATGAATTTAGGCAATTTGTTTAATCTCCATGAGACTCATTTTTTTAGCTGTGAAGTGGGGATAAGTACCTATTGCACAAGGTTGCTGTGATAAATAACGCATATAAAATCCTAGTACATTGTAGGTGTTAAATTGAAGTGAGTTGAATCAGAATCCCATATCTGTTGCAGGCAATTTTTACAGTAATAGCAAATTTAACCCTCCCACTCCTCAAATTAAGAACCCTTTATGACTGCCCACTTGCGGGAAAAGCTGAACTGAACTTCCCAAACCTAGCACAACAAACTAGCTGCAACCTACTTTTTCTAGCCTCATCATCTACCTTCCCTCCTCAGCATATAAATTCTTCATTCTATTCTCAGAAAATGTTCTTCAAATCAGCCACAGTCTTTCAAACTTTAATTCACTTACACATATTAATTCCTATCTAGAATGCCACCACCCACCTTGCCACTTCTCTGTCTGATGAACTCTCATTTAAACTTCACAACCAAATTCAAATATTATTTCTGCCATAAG